TCAGCAAACAAGTCTTAAAATTTAAGGTTGACTGTCTCTATATCATTTGCTCCTCAGTAATTGACTATTTCGAAGTTTTTCTTCTACAAAACAAAAAAAATCCATGGTTGATAAAGGTTACGGAAAAGCTGGAAAGTCATGGGAAGTGAGAAGTTTTTGGCTACTCCTAGAATTTCATGGAAGTTGAGTGGAGATCATGAGAAATAGCGAAAAATGTTTGGAAATGCCTAATTGTTTTTTCTTCACTTCGAAACCAATGTCTCGAAAATAAGTTGAAAAGGAAGAGGAGAGTATGAAATTCTTTAGAGGTCTATAGAGCATGAATTAAGCCCAGCGAATACGAGTCAAACTTTGCAAACTCTGAGTCTGTCACCTACCTAAGCTGGGCAGTGGAATGGGCGCTAAGCTTTGCCCCGAATCTCTGCAATGAGAAGTGTTACAAAGGTAAGTCAAAGTGAGACAGTATTTACATAACCAACATGATTATTACTTTCAAAGCCTTTCAAAGGCGACTTTGAAGAACTAACTTTAAGGCACTAGACCCAGGCAAAAGTAAGCAAAGATAAAGAGAGAAATTTCCTTTCCAACTAACAGTGCTAATAAGTCAAGACTAGCTTACAGCGCAGGTGTAATTTTGGCGAGCGAGTTCTCGGGATTTTCTTGGTGAAAGTTACATCTGCCATCTACGATTTTTACAGTAGTAGAAGGCTAGGGAGAGGGTGAAATTTGTACCAATAGGGTTAGGGACGGTCAAAAGGAAGAGGAGGTGAGGGGGTGGGGAAATAGAAGCTTGCACTGCACGCTGAGTAATGATCAGTACTAACGCGTGGACTGGTGTCGTCCTTCAGACACTCCTGATGAGTGAATTTTGACAAACCAAGAGATAAAATGACCGGTCGACGATGGTAAATATCATTGACCAAGAGACCGACTGACCAACTAGCAACTGTATGACCACTGCCTGATCGCTACCTGACTGAATGTCTCACTGACTGACTGAATGACCGAACCGATCGACCGACCTAACTGATTGACTTAAAAGGAGTGAGTTAGCAGAGTAGCAGACTATACAACAGAACATAACCTTACATTTGAGCCTGTCTGTGAAGCCACACTTGACAGGCTTTTTCGTCCTAAAGAAGAAAAAGTGGCATGAATGCTGTTAGGAGTTCGCTTGAAGTCATAACCTCACGAACGCTGCGAGAACTTCACGGAGTGTGAAGTTCCTCTCGTAACAATTCTGACAAGAGCTGAATACGCTTTAACAACAAGTGTACAGTAGCACAAGTTTAAAAAATAAAATAAATTTTTGGATGAATTACCAAACGCCGCAGGTGGTGACACATATTGCCGTGAGGAAACGTGCCGTGCGGTGACGTGCCGTGCAATAGGGAAACGTGCCGTGATGTGACTTGCCATGACATGCCGCTGGGCAACGTACCGTATGGCAACTTGCCGTGACTTAAGTTGCGGCGGGGTAACGTGCCATGCCGTGACGTGACGTGACAAACCGTGACAGTCTGTGCCGTAGGGCAAAATGCCGGGATTTGAGGTACTGTTACGTGACCCTTCATTTCGCCACATTGTATGATAAATTGCGCACAGCAAACGCCTTTCAACTTATAAATCAAGATTGCGGCGTGAAAATCAAACGGCTGTTTAAATTTAAACAAGTTCCTCATTTCTGGAGAAAGTTTCAAGTCACTTCTGGAGCTTTACCTGGATATTGGCCAGAATATCATCCAGCATTTTTCTCCGAGATTTGTCTTCTTCACGACGCCTGTTCAGTCGCTCATACACCTCTGCTCCTAAATAAAAGTTAACGAGGAAACCCAAGTTTTATGATGAAACGCTTTGTCTAAGGTTTTCTCTACCTGGTTCCCAAGCTCCAATTCTTTCTTGCGCAAGGGAGAGAGAAAGGGATCCTGGGAACGAAATTGAGGTCTGATAATTAAACTCGTAGTGAGCCACGCGCAAATTCACATTGTCACGTGTCTGTCGCAGTGGAAATAAAACGCCGAATAACATAACTCGCTGTTAAATAAGGCACTTCACTAAAGAGTGCGCTGCGTAATAAAGTACCTAATGATCTAGGCCAAAAAGGCGTAAATTTTACCAGCGACCATATGTTAGAGATAGTTGAAAATGTGCACGTAAAGTGTTGAGGCTAATACTGCTTGCAACATGGCTCTCTGGAGGAATTGATCTCCTGAGTTAAAAAGCTGTCTCCTACCCTTTCTTGTACGAATGCCCGCGGATCTGTATTCTTGTAAACTGACAACTTCTTTCTTCAGGAAAGATTCCACTAAAGGAAAAGCAAAAGCAACATTTTCTTTATCTCAGAAACTGACAATAACGTCGTTTTAACTTCCATTAAGCTGTACCTTAAGGAGATGCCTCAATTCTGATGTTTCAAATCTGCACTAATCTTGCACAACCCTCAACTATCTTTCCTTTATTTACAAAAACCTGTTTTAATGTACGCTATTTTTCCTACATAATAAAACCATCACTGTGACGTTTTCTTTCGACGTCAAGGTAGATTCCAACTTGTACAAGTACCTCAAAATACTGCAATTTTTAAAAGTTAATAAATGTCGAGTTTTTGTCCTTACTTAGTAATCCTTGGACAAATATTTCATGTTGATCCGGTGAATGAAGACGAGCAAAAGGTCTGAGGCTGTCACGAAGTTCCCTGTGAATTAAAACAGTGACTTTATGGACTAAGAGCGCTTTTTTATTTTTTCGTAACACTAAAACCAAAGTAATCACGACGGCCGATCATAACAGAGGAAAATACCTTTAAGAGCCAATGGAAATTTAAAGTGAAACCAATCAAACTGCGCGGGAGAAAGCGCGGGAAAACGCTGGCCGCCAAGTGGTGATTGGATTTAGCTCTGCTTCTGATTGGTCGAGAGGGTGGCGTGAGTCTTTTTTTACATATTTATTTATCGCATTTTACAACGTCAATTATAGCTTCCCTACAATTTAAAAATAGAAGATTCTTAGGTACCTTTCTGTTTTCGACTGTCTTCGCTCCAGGGCTAAGAAAAAAGAAATCGAAGGATAAAATGTTTTAGCATGACATAAAAATAAACATCCTTAAACCTAGCTTAACATCACATCACAACTGACGCACATGACGCATACTTTGCCATTTCCGGATGTTGATGAGTCCGTATTTTCTCACAATTCTGTAAAAAGAACAAGAGATATACCACTTAGCCAGAAGAACAGGCATAATTTTATCACATTTTTCAGCCGCACGAACTGTACGTGACTCGCGCGTTCTTCCTCTTGTCGGGCGAGATAACTTTCGGGCGACTTGACCGTAAACCTCAGAAAAAGTGCAACTTCACTAACCTTTTTCTGTAGAATCTTTGCCGTAGCCTTGACAAAAATATTTCAATGGCAGCAATTTTGAGTTCTACAATTAAACAAACACAAACTTTAGATTCATACTTCGATAATTTTCAAGTAAGGCCATAATAAAAAATGAAATATCATATTATGTCCAACCTTTGAGAAGTTCGGAATCAGAAGAACTGAATTCAATATCTTTAATGTCAACTTCAGCGTAGTTATCATATTCCTGAATGTAAAAGTGAAAGACAATGTTTGGAGTCCTTCAATTAAAAATAAAAATTTAGGTAAATTGCACCTCTTAAAATCCTTGAAATAGATATTAGAATATTTCTGGCCAACCAGCTATTTTTTTAAATTTTAAATCCAATTTTTTAAGAATTATCAGGTCCCTGAAGGCTTTTTGCTGCAGTAATCTTATGTACCAAGCTCTTAAGAGCTTACATGGAAGCCATGTCAAACAGGCTGCCCAAGGACAAACATAATCATCTGTGGCACAGCCCCTCTGTTAAGGCACAAACCCAAAATTTATAATTTCATTCCAAAAGAAAAAATTGAGCTCATTACCACATCAAAATCTCCCCTGCATGGCATGTAACCAGACATTTCCAAACTTCTTGCTGAATCCATTGGAGGACGGGGAGGATCTTCCATAGCTGTGATATCAGAACATACCAAAAGGAGCATTTCTTGTAGAAAGATGTTTATCATCTCATCATGAGCATGGAACAAAGAGTCCACAAGAAGAATCAAACCCTTGACCTTTGGCTTCCATATTCCAATGTTCAAATGCTAAGCTATAGAGAACTCTGTAATGAGCTAAGCCATTATTATGTTCATATGTGATGCATATCCTGCATACTGTTCAAATCAGCAATGTCAACCGTATTCTCAGAGTAAATAGAGCAAGAAAGATGCTAAACTCCAAGCATGGCTGTAGAATCAATTTAAATCATTCTCTATCCACTCAGCGTTTGCTGAAGAAGCAAAAATGTTGGTACAATTTGGTCGATAAAGTGTGGTCACAGCCTTCAGTTTCTTGGGTTAAGAAGTAAATGATTCAGTACTTACCCTTAAACAGAATGCCTGCTGTGGATGGCAATGTTGTGCAGGTAGCAACAGGCCTCAGTTCTAAAAAGCAAACCACATCAACATCAGTAATAAAAATGTGGAAAAAAATGTTTTATACTCACCTAGAACAGTAGCTGAGTTTTGGGAATCAGCATAATTTGTATACATTTGTGAACAGAAGTACTTAGAATAAATTTTTCTTGTTTCTTACTGGAACCACTCCCTGCCTTTACTAATTTCAGTACTTTTTGTGCTTAAAACTTGTGACATAAAAGCATTGATGTCAGTAGCTTACCTGAAATCTGAAGAGCCTCACAAGGTTTATCGATATAACATCTTATGTAATGTTCCTCACATTCTGAAAGATAACATTGAGATAAATCAAGTGACAACTAGATGCTGATTTACAGGCATCAGTTTACTTAGTAAACATCTACTGCAAACATCACCAACTATCAGGCTGATATCAAGTTACCTTAAGTACATAACTTCAACAGAAGTAGACGATCTGATCAATAAAAAACAGAGAATCTTCTGATCACTGTTTTTACTTGAATAAACATTTGCCATTAACCTTGTAACCCATAAGAATGACTGGCTTCTAATTTCTCCTTACAGTCTCACCCATGAATTGAACATAAAGGTGATGAGAACATAGGAAATGATCACTAATTCAAGAAGCTCCTGATCATCAAACAAATTCTCCTTGTCATTACCATAGGAAATATATAGAGAACAGTATGGAGAATATGAAAGCTGATCTCAGGGTGTAAAGAGTTAATACACCATATAACATGAATTTTGAGAAGGGTTTGCTTTCCTTTAAAACAATTAACTTTAGTCATAATAATTTCACTATGGCCACCTGACAAACTGTATGGAATTTTTCTCTAATCATGAAATCATGTCAAAATAATGACAAAAAATGTTTTAGGGAAACATTAGTTGTGTGATCATTGTTTCAAATGCAAACCATCAAACAAAAATCACAAATACATTTACCTTCTTCTGTTTTGCTTTGAACTTGCTTGGCAACCTCTGTCCTGAGACAGTAAAAAAATTTTGAGTTGTCAGCTTTACCTTCACACAACAAACTATACTCTTAAAGACCTCTTTACAAGACACAATACATTTTGAAAATCTGTAAGTAGCTCACCAGTTTTGAAAGCCACAATCAGAGATACTATTCAAAAGGTCAAACTCCTCTTGAGCACTCCAATTCTTCTCCAAAACTGGAAAATTGTTGCTCTGCAAATGAATAAGACCAAATTAACAATTTCCTTGAAAGATGAAGTAACATTCTGTGTGCCTCAAAATGAAATAATTGTATTGTGGTTCAAATGTTTCTTGTCTGAGAATTTGGCAAAAAAAATGGATTTTTGTGTCCTTTTTGTTTACATAATTGATAAATTGTAATTACTTGCAGATGTACCCCTGAGATAGGAAACTTACTAAGAACGTGCTTTTCAAGCTTTTTCTTATTTGTCATCATTTTTTTAGACTATTTGAAGGGCTCACTTTCCAGACAGAACTAGTAGTCAAGCCTAATTGAAATGATGCGGAAACAGGAAAAGAACGAAAACAGTCTGAAGCAACTTACGATTTATTCACAGATCACGTGAGACATGAGATTCAACATTTGCCCTTCAAATGTCTTCTAAATTACTTACTATTATTTCATAACTGTGATCACTATGGTGTTCCTTGTCTTCAGCTCCTCTGGAAAAACACTAAAAAATTGGAACATTCAACAGGCATGTTAGGGGAAAAAAACAGAGTGCGATGCCAACACATGTGTTCTCGTCCAATTTTGCTCTTTCTCCTTATGAAGACTCAGCTGATGCGGCTGCAATTTTAACACCACTACGACAACAAGGGAGAAGGAGTAAAAGCGCGAGTTGAGAATTTCAAAGTTCAAAATTTTATTAAAAACATGCATTTTTCAGAGAGTTTGTGTTTTGTGTTGAATTAGAAACGGCGCAGGAACGTTGCAGTTAGAAGAGAAAACAAACCTCTAAACATATATCCACTGCAGGCCTGCACTGCCGGCATCTTATAAAAGGTTCTTTAACGACTCCACAACACACTAAGCATTCACGACTGTCGTCACACACTAAACGGTTTTCTGCATGAAGCAAAATTTCGTTTAACACCTTGAAAAACACATAAGCATTGATCAATAACGTTCACACGAACCTTCGACTAGCACCGCCATTTTGAGATCCGCGCACTTTGTGGCAATAATGAAGACTGGGTTTTTTTTTCTCGCCAATAGGGCTGGGCCGGGTAGAATTCTGTCGGATGTTACTCACGTAGATTATTAAAAATAATGTATCTATGAACTATTATAATGAAACGGAAATGAAATGCGAAATAGCTCCGAGACGTGCAAACAAGACAGTTTCAGAAAGGAAGACCGGGATGAAGATATTTTAAGTTTAGTCAGTGAGACAGCCATGTTCATATAGGTACTCCAAAATCTTTCTCGATTTTCTATGCCACGGCGTAATGCTACCACTCCGCCAATGGGTTGCATGATCGACTTAAAAGGATAATGGATGCATAAATACTCCATGAAAGAAAAAGGAAAATCACAGAATTGCAAGATGAAGGATTAAATTTGATCGGTCACTCATACTTTGCGAAAATAACCCGATAGACAAAATTGACACAATAAAATTTAATATATCCTGAGGCCTGCAAATCATTAAAGCACTTTCACTCAAGTGTTGTGTTCCTTTCAGTAGGGATCAAAGTGGATCAAAAGTTTCAGAGACTTCAAGAGTTTTTATTCTCTTAGAGACGTTTATAGATTTATGGCGAGTTATGTCAGGAATATGGGAGCAAAGATATAGGCAAATTTCAGCGGCCCCGGCGTTTACAATTTTCCTTAAGATCTTCCTTGTCTTAATCACCTGATATATTTATTAGGTTTTCAACTCTGAATATTGCATTTATGGTGTTCTGATTGGTTCACTCAACTCCGGTTATCAGCTCATATTCCCAATCACCTTTCACGGAAATGCATTGGGCCAACTGTTGCGGAGCTTGAAAAAAGCTCCAAGTGTCCAAACGTTCAGGATTTAATAGAATTTAGTAAAACAATTATTCCATTCACGCTTTTTGGATACGTGATTGCTTATAGCTACCATCTCATATCCAACGCGCGCTCATGGAGTAATTGTTTAATAAATTTATTAGTATAATCGAATTTTTCATGTTAGAAACAAATTGTCATAATGGTGAAATGGTGTCGCCGAAACGTCATGTTTAATAGCGTGGCTTTTTATTTTCAGATGAAAATAAAAAAGAATTGTAATGACTTCTTAAACGAAAAAAAACCTTAACAATTTTAAACAGCTGATACCATTTACAATGAATTACTAATATTATAAATTTTATTCATAGCATTTTTAATGGACTCCTGTTTTAATTCGATAACTAAAAAAGAAAGATGATAAACCCTTCCATAAATTGCCAGATTATTTTTGTAGGATATATCTTAGCTTAGCGCGAAGAGTCATGAAGATGAAAATTCAGTTATAAAGTCGATGTCATTTTATATGTAATGAATGTTCTTAGTCAGCAATAATAATAAAATTAAAAAAAAACAAACAAACAAACAAACAACAACAGAGAAGGTGTTAGGTGCTATGATTTTCGTCTCGAACTGAATTCCGTCTCCTTCCCAGCGTTCGCCTCAGTGCATTTGTTACTTGAGTTAATCGTTGGCTAACAACTCCGAGCAACGGCCTTTCCTGTGTAGCCTTAAAAATGAATAAAATGAAGTATTGAAGAAACTCCTGTATGAAATTTTAATTTTGAGGTGAAGGTGAACTCGATTACAGTCTGCTGTTCAGGAAAATGAGCCCGCGCTCCTTCCCAGTAGTTCCTTCTCGTGAGACTCCAAGAAGGCAAAAATAGAGCAAACCTGAAGTCTAAAACAAGCCAACTCAGAAATTCATGGGGTTACAAAAGTCTCGCGGGAAATGTCTGCTATGTACCATGAGGGAATTCCCCACTCAACTGAGATACGCGATAAGTGTCGGGAAATACTACCTGTGTTTAGCGGTATATTTTGAGACACTCGCATGTAAACCATCACAATTCTCTTGTGCTGTTCACTTGTAATTAGAACTTGCATCGAGATTCGATAGAATGGAATCCACTGTTTTCACTGCTTTTATATGAAAGGGATGCCATGTTCCAAGCGACTCGATACACAAAAAGGGAGTTTAGTGGTTGAGCAATGGTGTAAAAAATCCGGGGGGGGGGGGGCTCCCCTTCCCTCATCTCCCTTCCCCACCCTCTGAATCCTTCTTTACCACCCTCAATTAGCTCCATGCTCAAAACTTGGAACCCTTTACAGAGATGTCCCCTTACCATTTTGATTTTTTCCTCCAAAAGCTCTCGCCTGGAAATTTCTCTCTGCAACCTAGAATGAAGAATGTCCACGCTCTCAGAGAGTCTCTCCTCTCTAGCTTTCGATTCAAGTCTTTCCCTCTGAAAAACATCGCCATAAATTGAATAAACATATTTAGTTTTACCAGCGTTTGAAGAAAACGGATGGAATGCCCAGCCGCGAGAACGAAGTTGGGCGGACACCAGCAGATTTTATCATATTACCGTTTTTGTATTGAGCTTTTCATACAGCTGAAGAAATTTGCATTCCTCTACTCTCAAAGCGTCCTTTATTTTACACAATTCAATCTCCATATTCTTGATCGTATTTTTCAGGTTTTTGTTCTTTACAAACAGAACAGATTTTTCGCGCTTCGTCTTTTTTAGAAGCTGAACTGCAAAAGAGAAATAATAAAATATGAGAAAAATGGCTCTACCACTAATCAACTCCATGTGGAATAAACCCTTCATAACTGACCAAATATCTGAACTAACCACATAGTTCATGCTTCTTTTCTATATTGAGATGATCCCACTCAAATTCTTTATCCGATTGCGAACTTTCCTCCATGCCTGGGTTCCTCACTAAATTTATAACACAAATGAATTGTAAACTGGAAATAAGTTTTTAGAAGCAGTCACACAAATCACATCTTTTGATAAATACATTCATTAGTTACGTCACAAGAAAAACTTCGCATGTAGATTAGAATAATACAAAGTACAGCAGTAAATTCGATTAGAACCGAGAAATGGTATTTGCTTATCTGCATCAACCTTGAAGTACTCAACACTCTCTATCCTCTTTTGTGACGTCATGAATACGATCGTCAATAGCGCGCGCTTTTATAAACGTTCACACGAGGCAATGGATCTATTTCGTTCCGAGGCTCTTTCCACTTTGCGATCTTTTTCGACAAGGAGAGAGGAGAGAAGTCAAGAGAGGTAAAGGAGAGAGAGCCTGGGAATGAGGATGATGATGAGGGTTCACAGTAAAGATCTAGAGAGTCCTTAAAATAACTGCATAAAGGGGGTAAGTTTCTAAAGAAACTGTAGTGCAGCGTCGGTGGGAGAGTATAGCAGGTAATTTAGTGTTAACAACTGAGTTGAAAACGTAAATTTGCCACCGTAAAGGGTACAAATAGCATCTAATTTCACCTTACAATATCTCCAATCGCTCTGACGAAGGGCTAACGCTCGGAACGTCAGCTTTTTTACCCTTTACGGTGGCTAATTTACGTTTTCAACTCAGTTGTTAACACTAAATTACCTGCTTAAAATAACTGCACTCACATGTGATTAGGCAGGAGACTAAACCCGGTGAGGATTTCATCAGATAAAGAACAAAGAACATTGGTTATGAAAGGCTTCAAAAAAAGAGAGAAAGGCTCCATAACGGAATGCTTAAACAGTAAGTAAAACAAGGCCACAAATAGACTGTTAAATGCACAAAAAAAACAGACATTTTTACTTAATCCATTGACAATATCTAAACTTTATAAAAATAGGTATTTACAACTATCTTTACCAGTTATTATAGCTAGTATACAAGAATTTTCCTTCTTCCCTAAAATATATATGATCTATTTTGTATCTTTGAGTTGAAAGAGCACTGCTACCAGGCTGCTGTTTCTAGTAGCAGTGAAACTGTAATACTATTAAGCTTATCATATTACTAATTTGTCTGATAGGTTTGAAGAAAAAGTTCGGATTACGCGGCAGTGAAAAATAAATCAGAGAAAAAAAACAATCGATTCTTTTGCAACAAAATCAGCTTCACATTCTAGCGTGCTGCAAAGCGATGTACGGCTTGCTTAATTAACCAATCAAAGCGCACGTATTACATGAGAGATAAACTAAACAAGCTACGCATTGAGGAAGAAAAACTCGTCTAGTGTTCCAAGTCCTCATAAGAAGGAGGTCCAATGGCCACTGAAAATTATAAATACTGAAAGAACTAATTACTCAAGAGATTTCTACCAGCTTAAAAATAAAATTATTTGAACTGGTAATCTGTCAGCTGCTTTCGCCAACATGTTGAATACTAACAACATTTCATTTACCGAGGTTGAGGATGTTTGTTTTAACTCCAGTTACACAAAAGTTGGTTAAATGCGTAGAGTTCACAATTCAATTCCTTAGATACTTGGTTGGATTAACCTGGACTTCTCATTATGTGCTACATGAATTATTGCTCTCCAGTTGTAAGAATTACCTTTCCTAACAGCAATTTTTGATTGATTTACGAAAGTGACCCGCCATAGCCTTGGTTAGGAGTTACTTCACACTCCTGGAAACCCGCGCCACCCTCTCAACCAATCAAATCACGCTGATCAAAACCATTACAACTACGTTACTCTCGTCTTCCCGCGCTTTTGAACGTTTGCTTGATTTTTTCTTTGAGTTCTCACTGGTTCCTTATTCACCTTCACTCTGATTGGACGTTGTGAAGTAAACAGTAAAGAGTTCACAGTTTGGGAAAATAAACATTATCATGAGGGTGATAAAATTTTTTTCCTCCGCGCACTTTGCGCCTTTTCTT